ATTATCTGAGTAAACCTAAATCCCTAATTAATCCTTTAATATGTTATTATAGTTTGAAAATGTATTTTAACTCCGATCTACAACTTTCTTCTTGGCTCTTAAATGAAGACGCTAAAAGCACGCATCTCATGTCATCAATGCTGTGGCCCGGTTGGTTGAATATATATATATATATATATATATATATATATATATATATATATATATATATATATTGTCATCCACAGACAGACTATTTCGCTGGATCACATCTCATCAGTGTAGCTAGACGTCCGGTTGCCTCTAGTTAGGATCGAAACCTGGTTGAATTGGCGTCAGTCGGAGATTATACCTCTAAGCCGTTGCCGCAAGGCAGGGATGAAGGTGAATTTAAGCCTGTTTATTTTTAGATAAACACACGGTGACTCAGAAAACTCGATTCGTTTTACCGAAGAGTCTTGAATTATTAGCAGTAATAGTCACTGTTTACAAACTCACACTTCCTCTCCCGAGGGCTCAACGGAAATAAATTTTTCAGAAGATTGCGTTTGGCACGAAACGCCGAATCGTGCGAACAGTGTGGGGTAATATATACATTTATTATTATATATAATTTATAGCTCTGTTATATGACATCGAGCACCAACAATATATATATATATATATATATATATATATATATATATATGAAAAAAAGTGAAAAACCGCAAACGGTTTTGGTTATAATGTGGATTTGTTTTAGTGTATATATTATATTTTATTTTCCATATTTCTGCTACACGTTTTTCCGGTCTCTTCAGGCAAATAAAAAGAATAAATTTTTAAAAGGAATAAATTTTTTTTATGTTCTTTTAGTGTCTCATTGTCTGTTTTCTGCATTTGTTAGTCATTAACAAAAAAAGAAATATGAAGAATAAAACATAATATATACACTAAAAGAAATCCACATTATAACCAAAAACGTTTTTCTCTCGTTAGAACAACAATAATGTCCCCCACATATATATATATATATATATATATATATATATATATATATATATAGAGAGAGAGAGAGAGAGAGAGAGATTGAGAGAGAATATTAAATTAATAATAAATAATATCGGATGAAAAATAAAGTCTGTTAATTCCTTATAAATTACGTTTTGTATACAATAATAAAAAGTCAACAGATCTGGACTTTTCGAACAGATCTAAACGAGAAGATGCGAATTTCTTAAGAGGGTAATTGAACTTGCCTGGTGCTGATGCTCTCTTTGACTGAGCGAGCTAAAGCACACCGGATCAGACGATAGGATGCAGGTTCGGACCCTAAATAACGGTATATTTTCTTTATTAGGTCTCTCGAATGTACTGGCAAGTAGATGTATTCCCCACCGTCTAAAAAATTCAAAAACAGAAAAAAAAAAAAAACATACAAGACGTCTACTTAAATACATATATCCACTAAAATATAACGCATGGGGCAAAGATAGAGAATTAACATGTGTGTGTGTGCGCGCGTGTGTGTGTGTAGATATTGAAATAAATATTTCATATTGATTGTAAATTTCCAGCCTCGACGCGATCTTCAGAAGAAGCACAACTTCTCCTTTAGCGGGTTGTGTATGTAGGTCACGATGGGATTAAGTGGGCAAGAAGCAACGCTTATAAGCACACATGAAGTCATGAAAATAAATTAACTTTATGCTAACACACTTCCTCCATCTGCTCAACCGGCAATCTAAATAATGCTCAACATTAGCTCTGAAAAAAAAAAAAAAAACTAAACAAAACCCTGTAAACATTTGGCAAGCATCAATGTCTGTTAATATTTCTGTATGGAAGAATTAAATAACACGTCTTTTGTTTACACACTTTCATGCTAAATGCCATTTTGCCAGACTGCCGCTCGGCTGCTATATTTAACAACACAAACAAATTATGGGTTACTGGAGGAAAGGCTTAACTTCCACTGTCATATCACTAACATTCGCCGTTTAGCGTCGTAGGCCAACGTAATAAAGTAGGAACAACTCTCGTAAATAAACACTATATGAGAGATATGGATTCTTCGAAATAATATTAAAAATGTCGCTTATCACCCTACACAGAGATAAAAGAAGAAATGTTTATGGAGCGGCAAGCGTATAAAAGAAGGCAAATATTAACACAGACGAAAATGCATTTGCCAATCCATATACGTTTAATCATATTTTAATGGCGGAAAGAACTTGATCGTAAACAACTGATACGCATGCGCAATATATGTATAGATCTTATATATATTTGTTTTTTAATAAGTGAATATTTATATGCTCACCTCGTGTCCTCACAGACAGGAATATATGAACTGAAGGAGCAAGTCGTCTCCTCACTACTTGGATGGTAATGGTAATAAAGAAATTAGCTGTTTCCATCCAGGTGAATAATGAGATTAAAGGATTATTTCTTATCTATCAGAATATAAATTTTTTATATTATCGATTAATATATTTACTTTTCCATGTCAGAATCCGACATCAATATTATTTGTTTTAATAATAATCCAGAATTCCGCGATCTTTCAACTCTTTACGGATATTTTTTTTTTTTTTTAGTTATATGGGTTACACAACAGACAAAATAAACTGAAGATTTATTGGTCACAGGTGTGATGTCCGACACAACACTAACTTGCGGACACATTTTATCACGAACGGCTGTAATTTCAGCGAACATCTTAAGGTATACATTTTAAAAAAATATCCAGAATCCACCGACGTCTGAAACGCATGAAGATAATTACATATGCAAATTGCTAACGCTCCATCCAGGGTTAACTGAACAAAATGACAGGAGAGTTCCATAAGATTTATACGAAACTGTTAAAGTCTAACTAGCCAATCAGCTGACAGAAAAGATTATGATGAGCAGGTCACCCATTGTCGGTGTTATTAAAAGTGCTCGATGTTATATAACAGAGCTATAAATTATATATATTATATATTAATAAATATACATATTACCCCACGCCGTTCGCACGATTCATAGTTTCATGTTTCTTGTCCCGCTAGATTATATACGATTGAGTAGCGAGTTCGGTCCTCACTGGGGGCTAAATACTCTCGATCTTTTACCACATTTAAGCCACTCTTAGAAATTCGCTTTCGCTATTTCAAAGTTGTGTAATGGGTAGCAAGCGTGTCCCGCGGGATCCATTAAGCCTAAGTAGTGAGTTCGATCCTCACTTGGTGCTTCGTATATTCGGCACTGTGTTGCGTCAAACTACGCCTAGAAAATAATTTTTGAGTGTGCTTTTCGTGTTTGAGTGAGTGGTTGGACGAATGATTGTTTTAAATTATTTAAGTCCCGTTATTTTGTTTAGTTTCTTGTGAATATAGATACATTACATTGTAAATACACATTGGTGTTACATGGGGCACCTCTAGGCGATGTAATTGTTAGCAAGCTTGTCTCGCTAGAACAATTACGACTGAGTAGTGAGTTCGATCCTCACTGGGTGCCCCATACTTTCGGCCTTGTGCCACATCTAAGCTACGCTTGGAAAATCACTACACATTTGGGCTACATTATTAAATTTTTATTCCCCTCCCACCAAAGATAAAAAAGTGTACATATGGGGACTAGTTAGGACTTCATGGAGATTCTGAGGTATCATGTTGTATGCTGTAAGAATGGTAAGTAAGTATGTGTTGTTTTGGTGTAAGAAATATTGTGGTATGTTTGGATCAGTGATAGCTAGCTAAGCTTAATTATAAGACAGAAGAAGAACAGCCTTCTCCATCCCAACTTTTGGCCTTGTGCCACATTTTTGTCAATTTTTATAAAATAAATATTCCATTCCTCTTTGGTACTTCGAACGCACAAACGTACTACTAGATTAGCAATTAGGTCTCACAGTTTTTGCTGTTCAACTTGCTAGATGTAACCGCAAATTCTTTTTGAATAGTTTCTTTTCTTGCACTTCTCGCCTTTGGAATTCATTTCTTTCTTCCTTACCACCTACAATCTTGAAAAGATTAAAGGCAACGTCAATTGCATCTTATCTTTTCCTGAATTCTGTTTTTATATTGTTCTTTCTCCTCATTAAAGTCTTCTCATTCTTCCACCAGCTATGAGCTAAATAGCATGACAGACTAGGCTCTCTATCGTGGTTGGTAGTTAGTATAGGGTAAAGTATAACTCGATCGGGTCTCATACTTGAACAGTCAAGTTGCAGTATAAACCAGAGGTTGGCTTATTGAGTGATAAGAAACAAACAAATGAGCCGGGGTAGGTAGGCAATTGTCGGAAGCGAGTAGCCATGTTGAAATGGGAAATCACATAGATTTTCAGTGCCTCTTCAAGTCGTAAGAAAAAAATCTGATGACGTAACATCTGTTATGTTGTATAGAAAAGATAAAAAAAATATATATGACAAGTACAAAGGTTGCAAAAGATTTCGTGTTGTCTTTTTTATTCCTCTGGTCTTATTTACATATGGGAGACTATTTAGGACTTCATTGAGATTCTGAGGTATTATGTTGTATGCTGTAAGAATGGTAAGAATGTGTTGTTTTGGTGTAAAGAATATTGTGGTATGTTTGGATCAGTGATAATGGTGAGCTGAATTTAAGAAGACCAACCTTTTCCATCAAACATTTTGGCCTTGTGCCACATTTCTGTATTTTACCGAACAAATTTCACTTCAGTGGCATTCCCTTCACGCTAGAATTCCATTTTGCTCATTTTGTCCTGTTGATTACCACTACAACCGTTTGTCTCAAGATAAGCAACGTTTTTTTTTTATAAAGACTTGTATGCATTTTTTAATCATAACTTAAAGAAGACACACATACTGTTAAAATATTGTTAAACACCATCTTTTATGTTTCTTAAATTGAGCTCTTCTTGAAGTGTTGCGAAAGTAGAAGTGTTACGTAATTTTTTTTAATGCTTTAAAAGTGCTTCAATTCGTGACCATTGCTAAATATACACTCTACGCCATTTGAAGAATTGTAACTGACTAAGCCAAGTTTAGTCAAGTCAATATTCATTTTATGAAGAATTCTTTATCTTTTTTCGTTTGTTTATCACTATTTCGTTTTAATATTATTCTTCCTGTTTTCCCCTCTCTCTATATTTCTCTTCCTCTTCTTTTTTTTTCATTCTTCTTTTTTGTTACTCCATTTTCTTGTTTCCCGCTTTCTCATTTCGTTTGATACTCTTCTTTTTTTTCTTTCTCTAGTCCAATTCGTTTCGAACACGCTCACCACTAATTTTTCTCTTCTTTATCTTCTTCAGAAATGTATCCTCATCCTTCCTATTTGCGTTTCATCTCTTGTCGCCAACGTTCTTCTTTCCCTGGCTTACGGCCATATCTTATTGAAACACCGGTTGTCGTACGATCATCGAAGTTAAGCAACGTCGAACCTGGTTTGTACGTAGATGGGAGACCAATGACGAATACCAAGTGCTGTAAGCTTAGATGGGCGGATGTTATTGCTGACGGCCATATCACATTGAAACACTGGTTCCCGTATGATAAGAAAAGTTTAAAAAATAACCTCAAACCTGGTCAGTACCAAGATCGGTGACCACCTGGATCTGAAAGCTTGGATTTGCGGGTGGTGTAGTCAATAATGGCTCGGAATTGCTAATCGGTGAGCCAAGTTCCAATTCTAGTTGGGTTGGTTATATTCTCTTAGGCGAAAATACTTTTGGGAAATATATGAATTCACCTCATGAATCCCCCCAGCTATGGGTTAATTAGTAAGACTTATATCACTAAAAACCATTATCTCCAAAGATAGATTTCGGCATTAAATAACGCATATGCCGCTAAAGAAAAAACGACCAACCAACGAAGCAATCTCTTTCTCTTTTCATAATCTACTACTTTTTTCCCGACCTCTTCTTTCTTTCTTTCTTTCTTTCTTTCTTTCTTTCTTTCTTTCCTTTTCTTTCTTTCCTAATTTCTTTCTTTCTTTCTTTCTTTCTTTCTTTCTTTCTTTCTTTCTTTCTTTTCGTTCTTTCCTAATTTCTTTCTTTCTTTCTTTCTTTTCGTTCTTTCTTTCTTTCTTTCTTTCTTTCTTTCTTTCTTTCTTTTCGTTCTTTCCTAATTTCTTTCTTTCTTTCTTTCTTTTCGTTCTTTCTTTCTTTCTTTCTTTCTTTCTTTCTTCTACCTCTTCTTTTTTACGTTCCTCTTCCTCTTCTACACCAGCTCCATTTTTAAACATCTTCTGCTCTTCTCTTCTTTTTGCTACTGCTTCTCCCTTTTCTTCCTATAGATCTTCTTTTTCCTGTTCACTATCTCCTTCTGATACACCCCCCTATTTTTTGCACTCTTTCACTGTAGTCTCCTATTCTTGTATGAACTCCTTTTTTTCTTTTTCTCATCTCTTCTCCCAAACTCTCTTTTCTTCGCCTCCTATTCTCCACCATTTTTTCGTTTCTTCCTTTACGATTTTTCATCTTTTTCCCTTTCCTTCTTGTCTTTCCATTATCTATCTATCTATCTATCTATCTATCTATCTATCTATCTATCTATCTATCTATCTCAGTTTGTTCATATCTATCTATCTATCTATCTATCTATCTATCTATCTATCTATCTATCTATCTAGTCTGTTCATATCTATCTATCTATCTATCTATCTATCTATCTATCTATCTAATTCTGCTATGTGCATTCAGTATTATCATACAAAATGTATCTTGCCTGAGACCCTATTCAGTACTTTTTCTCCCTAATCTCACGGTATAAATAAGTGCCTGATTGGACCACGTTTTTTTTTTGACTATCAGTTACAAGAGCCTATTTGGTTCAAGCGACATTTTAATTACCTATTTTACTTTGAATGGATACACCAATTGGACAGTAAATCTCTGGCCCCGGGCTGGACTCTACTGGCCTTCGAAGTGCATTTTCTTTCTTTTACGCCTTTCGTGGACATCCACACGTAATGTAATAGCGTAAGTAATTTAGATGGTAGCTAATGAAAGCGTTTCTCGTTGAGAGTTGGAGACTCAACCGGAAGAACTTTTTCTGACAAGATTCTAATTAGTTCTGGTTCCATCTAATACAGAGCCTGAGAATGGTAAAAATGTCTATTTAACCGATTCCATTACGGAGAGGCACTCAAGGGATACTGAATGCAAAATACATATAAATATTGATTAAAACAATTTGTTAATGACAATAAATATGAAGATACAAGAAATAATGAAAACACCCTTACATTATTTATTATTGTTGAAGTTATCGCTAATATTTTTGTCGGATTTACAAACTTTACGTTTCGCTGAATTTCACAAACCAATCGATGAAATTTGAATAAGCTGATTTGTTTGGAAAATACTTTGTCAAAAACCTTACTTCGTAGTTTAATAATTTCTTTAATTTAATTTAATTTTATAGGACTTCACGGTAAACAATATTTTTTAAAGAAAATTCCTTTTTGTAGCTTTTTTTCTTTTTAACAGCGAAGAATAAATTCTTAGGATTTCTTACTCTTGAGCATGCAACATACAACTGGCCATGCGTAGATAATTTCTTTCTGGAGCCAAATTCCATCTTTTTGAAGCGTTTGGCGGTGTAATTTGTTTATAGTTCTCGCAAACTGGATTCGTGTGAAAACTTAAAGTTAAAGATATGATATGCAAAAAAGCTATATTGCATTTTTATTAAATAAGTATTTGTTATTTTAAACATTAAATTGTTTTTTTTTTTAAATAGTGCGAATATTTTGTATGCTAAATGATAAAAGTTTTGCATTATTTACATTATTTGGACTGTTATCCTCACCCTTCATTGCCATATTCACAACGTTTCGGCCGTAGTACGCACCGGCCGTCAGGTGATTGGAATTCCGAACTGAATCCTTTATTTCGTCCACCGGGCTAGATAGTTCTAGTTCCACGTGCCATGCCTCTTCCGGATGTTTTAGTTATTTCTCTTTAACTCAACTGTCCAAGTGCCGTGAACAACACTTTGGGTCTAGTCACTGGATCTAAGCAACGTCTTTATCCACTGAGTCAATTGTCCTTGACGACATCTGTGGATGAATTTTGGGATTTATAAATATAATGTCTCAGCAACCATATTTTAGCAGAACTTATATTGCAATTTTTTCTGTTATTATTATATCATATTTTTACCAGAACTTATATTGCAATTTTTTCTGTTATTATTATACCATGTTTTTACCAGAACTTATATTGCGATTTTTTCTGTTATTATTATACATGTTTTTACCAGAACTTATATTGCGATTTTTTCTGTTATTATTATACATGTTTTTACCAGAACTTATATTGCGATTTTTTCTATTATTATTATACTATGTTTTTACCAGAACTTATATTGCGATTTTTTTCTGTTATTATTATACCATGTTTTTACCAGAACTTATATTGTGATTTTTTCTGTTATTATTATACCATGTTTTTACCAGAACTTATATTGCGATTTTTTTTGTTCTTGTTATTGATTGCTTTTCTCTAGAATTCCTTATTACTGGTTCCCATATTGTATTCATTTCTATGCTTGGTCGGCCTAATTTTAATTTTTCCCAGAAAATTAATGAAAACTTATTGTACTAAGCTATAGTAAAACCTGTGGTACTTTGTACCCACTTACCTGTTTGCACTTCTCCCCAAAATTTTTATTTCGATCGATTAATGTATGGCTACTTTTAAAGGGTGTGACTTATATATCGATTCATTTCGGTTTGATTTCTTCATTTTTTAAAACTTTTTATCAAATCCTTTCCGCGTCTCAAAGCAAAACGTAAAGAATTATGAAATGTGAATAAAGTACTTTCTGTAACGAACACACGTTGTCACTTTTGTGATGTCAACGAATACTCGTTGTCACTTTCGTAATGCTCGTTGTATTAGAGACTTTGTAATCGCAGATACAACTATAGTAACGCCGTTGAACAATACTTGTGTCAGACGACTTCGAATAACACTGGCACTAATAGTACTTGCTCGATAATACTCGTTTGACAAGTAATCACCGTATTGATCCGAGTAGAGAATAGTGTAGAGAAGAGAATAGAGAATAGCGGTCCGTATAGTATAGAGGATAGATTAGTAGTGCAGATCCGAATAGTATAGAGGATAGACTAGAATATAGCAATCAATCTAGATCACGAGACTTCCTATATATGTGTTTCCTTTATGGTCACGTGGTCTACTTAATTTAATAACCCGTATAGTGATAGAGTGAATAGAGTAGAGAATAGAGGTTTGTATAATAATAGAGGATAGAATAGAAATAGTGATTCGAATAGTAATAGAGGATAGACTAGAAATGGCGATCGATTAGACACTTGCTACCTATCCGTTTCCTCTACGGTCACATAGTCTATTTTATTTAATAATGGTATCGCCTATGTTTACTTAATGGCAATCTATGTTCAAACTCAAGTGTTGGCAGCGACACTTTATTCCAATATAACATTATACAAGGCCCAAGAGCCACTTAAGGTAGAGGATTACTGAAGGATGTCGTTGTGTGAGCAATAAGAATAAGAGGCACAGTTTATGCGAATATGTGAGAAAGATTAAAAAAAAAAGCAGTAGTACTTTAGAGGAAGCCATCCGAGTGGACCTTGCTCCTTACAAAAAGAATACAAAGGGGATTCGGGTGGTTCACTTCAGTGCACGCGGTATGACTGGTCTTAGCAGGGAGGCTTAGAGTTGGGGAGGGAACTGCTCGTCTGTACATTTCAGAAAGGGGTTGTAATGCCGCGTAGAGGTTCACATCTGATGAATTTGTCTTATCTGGACACAACCAGATAATAATAATAAAGATGAGAACATCAGTCCGAACAATGTAAATAGTGTAAATAATTACAATACCTCAATACCTCAGAAATATAGACAGAAAAATAAGTGTATAAAAATACATCAGTAAGTGCAACTGATTTTTTTTTATGGCTTAGCAATCCTTTTTGGGTTACTTATAGCCGAAACATATAGATTGTATGAATTCAATTAACAATTTTGTGGATTATGATAATGATTTTTTCAGATACAAATCCTACTATTTACCCATAACAAGAGAAAAATGGATTCATAGTTTTCCCAGGGGTATTTGCGCATAAATGAAAGTAATTTATTCCATCGGAATTCGAACTCGGCTCTCCGACTTCTTATTCTGTGACGCTAACCATTACATGATCAGCATATTCCACAGTAAAATGCAACAATAAAAATATTGAGTATAATAATGGATATTTACTCATCTTAATATAGCTTGCCACAAAGTAATAAATGTTTTGCACTCAGTGAGAATCGATGTCGATACAGCAGTATCTAACAACTACGCCTCTGCAGGACGCACTGGAAAGCTTTTTGGCAACAAATAGTGTAGATATATAAAGAAATTCTATAGCAATGTGCTTTCCTGAAATAGCGAATTCAAACTTTGCTCTGTCAGGCTTGTATCCGTGATAAAACTGGTGTACAAATACAAATTAATGGCGACAAATTTTGGCTATAGAACTAGGTTGGAGTAATAAAGGGATACTGGTTCAATTCCTGTCGGAAGCACAAGTTTTCTTTAATAAAACTTCTCAATCTTGGCTGGTTGTTATTAATTTCACTGTTTACGAAAATAAAAAGAAAATCAGGGATAGAAACTCAATCACGTGTACAATCTAAAAAAAATAACGCTTTTAGTGATAGAGGCATACAAGACTTTATTCAACTGCGACTGGGGAGTTTCGTATGCATTTCTATATGCATAAAATGATCTGTGCAGGGTGTGTGTGATATATTGTTAATGAAATCATCTGTTTGTGAAAGTCCGGCTTCATTAACTGTTCGGAAAATATCGAGAAAATGGCTATTGTCGCTGAATAAGGCAAACCGTTGGACTGAACGGAAAACTGGCGGGAAATGTCACTCGCAGCAAGCTTATAAGATAGAACACGGTCGGAGTAATAAGCAAAGAATTTAATAGGATCGACTCAGCTTTCTTCTTTCTTTTTATCATTTACATTTTCCCTCTCCCCTTTTCTTTCTTTCTTTCTTTCTTTTTTTTTCTTTCTTTCTTTCTTTCTTTCTTTCTTTCTTTCTTTCTTTCTTTCTTTCTTTCTTCTTTTCTTCCGGCTTTTTATTTGTTTCTACTGCCTGTAGAATTTATTCCTACGCTACAATAATTTTTCATTTTCAATTTACTTATTCATTTTCCTTTATTTTTTATATTTTAAGTTGATGGATTTTTCAAACCTTGCTAGCTTGTTTAATATAGAAATCAGTTTTCAGGTTTATATTTGACTCTATAGTCATGTCTATTTGAGTCTATTTGTCAAGTTGATACTTGAGTTTATAGGCAATTATTGGTTAAGTTTAAACTATAAGTAAATTAATTTTAATTCTGTAAGTAAATATTTGTCAGGTTCGTATATGAGTCTATAGATAAATAAAGGTCAATTTTATACTTGACTCGATAGGTAATCGTTTGCCTTTATACTTCAGATTATAAATAAACATTGGTCAAGTAAATATTGGAGTATATAGACAAATATTAGTCAAGTTTATACTTGAGTCTATAAGTAAATATTTTTCAGGTTTGTATATGAGTCTATCGATAAATACTGGTCAATTATATACTTGAGCCTATAAGTAAATATTTGTCAGGTTTGTATATGTGTCTATAGATAAATATTGGCCAAGTTGATACTGGACTCTATCGGTAAACGTTGGTGATTATACTTGAGCTTATAAATAAAAATTAGTCAGGTTTATATTTGAATTTAGAGGTAAACTTTAGTCTGATTTATACTTGCATTTGCAAGCATCCGTTCAGAAGATTGCCTCTTTTAGGAGAGACATACCCACATTTATATCGGATAATGTCGAGGTATCTGAGATTCTGCTGGCAGGACAATTCTTCAGTGGCAAATACCAATAAAATTATGGACCGAGGGAACACTACAGAAGAGAATTATCATACTGTCATTGAAGGAAGATATATTAGTTGATGTTAGTTTCTCGACAGTATCACCCATGCAGTGTACTGGAAAGGTATGGAAAAATTATGTGTTCAATATATACCAACGAAATAAGGGAATTAACTAAGATTATATAACAGTTGTTGTGAGAAATACTTGCTTTCATCATTAGGCTATGGACTTCTACATCACTTTTAAGCTTGGAAAGTGTGTTCTTGACACGTAATATTCAGTAATTAATTGGTTATAGAAAATAAGTTTAAAGCTTGAGCGAATTTCTCATTCACCCTGAAAAGGTGATGTTTCATCGAGAACTTAAAAAACAAGGAAAACTGAAGATCGTCAAAAGCCTTTTTGAAATAACGAACGCGAAACTGCCAAGTCAGTGACGTATAGCATTAACCAGAAAAACACCCATCATTTTATTTTGCTTATCTTTTTTCACAGTTTGATATCCTTTTCATTACTAAACGCCGAAGCTTGCAAAGTTATCACCACTATGGAATCTAGTATAAATGGGTCCTTAATTAATCCTAACGGAAGTCGCTGAGCAAATCTTACCGGAAGTTCTTCAGATGAGTGCAGGGACGAATTGATGTCCAGCAATTTATCAAAACATTCTTGCCGTGGGCAGAGAGGGGGATGAGTTGAGGGGTGGGGAAGGTGCCATGCCATAGTCGTCTATAGCGTTTTCGGAGCAGCACCTGGTGCAGAGACGATTTCACAAGAGGATGTTACGTTCTTAGGGGCCCTGGGCAGATTTGACATCTTTATTGGAAATATTTGGCAGAAGAAATCATGACATTGTATTCGTTATATTGTTTCATTATGATTACGACTGAAGCCGATGATGATTTGAATTTTCTTTTACTATTCGTTAATATTTTTCGACTCTTGCCATCCTATATTTCTACTTCTTAATTGTTTCCTTTTGTCTTGATGACATAAATGTTCTTCTTCTTCTTCTTCTTCTTCTTCTTCTTCTTCTTCTTCTTCTTCTTCTTCTTCTTCATTCACTTACCGCTTCATCTTCTTTACTCTCTTATCGCTTTCTTCTTCTTCGTCTTCTTCTTCTTCGTCTTCTTCTTCTTCTTCTTCTTCACTCACTTACCGTTTCATCTTGTTTACTCTCTTATCGCTTTCTTCTTTTTCTTTTCTTCTTCTTCTTCACTCACTTACCGCTCCTTCTTCTTCACTCTCTTATCACTTTCTTCTTCTTCTTCTTCTTCTTCTTCTTCTTCTTCTTCTTCTTCTTCTTCTTCTCTCTTATCGCTTTCTTCTTCTACTTTTTTACTTTCTTTTCTCGTTCTTTTTCTTCTTTCTCGCTCTCTTTCCTCTTCTTCCTCCTCTTCTCCTTCACTCTCTTATTGCTTTTTTCTACCTCTTCTTTACTCTCTTTTCTATTTCTTTTGATTTTTTCTCACTCTCTTTTCTCTTCTTTTTCACTCTCTTATCGCCTTTTTCTTCTTCTTTACTCTTTTTCCTCTTTCTTTTTTTTCTTCCTCACTCTCTTTTCTCTTCTTCTTCTTCTTCTTCTGCTTCTTTGCCTTCTTCTTCTTCTCTTCTCTTGTTTTCCACCTCCTCTTACTTCAACTTATTGATATTTCTCACGTGTTTCTTGTTTTCCCTACCGCTTCTTTATTTTTTCTTTTTATTCATAAAAATTAAAATTGATTTTGGATTTAAGAAAATAACTTGGTGAACCCATCGAGAATAAGGTTTCTCTTAGATTAGACGAGTCAGAAAATTAAATTATCCATATTACGGCATTGACTTTCTTTAACAGAGATATTAAATAGTTTTCTCCGTCATAATATTAATTCTGTATGCGTCTCATATTCTTCCCTTGACACGAAACCTCCATTATTATTATTGTTATTATTATTATTATTATTATTATTATTGCTATTGTTGCTGTTGTTATTATTCTTATTATTATTTACTTATTTATTTATTTTTAATAGAAGCAGAAGGAGAATTTCCTAAGATTTCAAAATCTGCTGGGTAGGGACGAAGAGCTTAGTTTCCGGGTTAGAAAGATGACAATGCAAATAAATTCAGAAATCAATCCAAACTGTGGTGTCTGACAATTCTTTCATTAATGAAACTGCCTCATTAATATCTTTATATCTCCATATTTTTTTTTTAAATTGGTTTTTACCCCCCGGGGAAAGACGAAAAAATTTATTTTTTTTTTTTGCCCTCGTTAAGTACCCTAATTGTCTCCTTAGTCTATTTCAATCCTTTCTCGTGGGAAGGTTCGTTCGTAATTTTTGTCTATTCATTGTTATTGCTTTCCAAATGCAATTTACGCATTCGACTCATGGTTTGAGGCGATCTTATAATGGGATATCTTTTAGATATATTTGACAAGTTTGAAAACTATTCCACATAGATATATTATTACTATAAATCTTATAGTGACTATACGTGCTTGAGTCGAAATCTCTGCTTATTTATAACTAGCAGTAGAGCCCGGCGTTGCCCGGGGATGTAACAGTAAGAGATAGATCAAGTATCGACCATCATAAAGATTATAAAAATAAAATTGACAAAGATTATTGTTTAAGGTTGACGGACACGCATGTCTTAATTAGTTTTTTTTTTTTTTTTTTTACGAATTGGTCAAACCCAAACTCAAACAAAAACATTGTTTTCAATCGTTGTGAGTCTACCGATTAAATAGAATTTTATTATAAACAATTGTCTTGTAAATGGAATTTTTAAAGCATTCTGAATGTAAAAATAAAGAAAAAAAGTGTGCAAGACAATAAGAAACACTACCTGCCAAAAAAAAGTGAAGTTTTGTTGAAATCGGTTAAAAAATGTAGGAAATCCGATCCCATATATAAACGAACACACACACACACACACACACACACACACACACACACACACACACACACACACACACACACACACACACAAACAACCTGGGTTTTATAATAAGTATAACTCGATATGAGTTGTCCTCCTTTCATTCTCGCGACAGCGATGCCTCTTAATCGTGTTTTCAAATTGATTTCGTGCAAAAACAATTGTATTTTTCCAATTTTTGGCGCTGTCAGAACCACTGCAATGTAATTTTACGTAGTCCTGTGAAGTTTTGTTGAAATCGGTTGAAAAATGTAGGAAATCCGATCCAATATATAAACGAACAGACACACACACACACACACACACACACACACACAACCTGGGTTTTATGATAAGTATGATGAGTGAATTTAACGTCAACTAGCCTAGGTCATCGAAAGTCTTCTCTCTCTCTCTCTCTCACACACACACACACGCATATATGCGTGCGTGTGTGCGTGCGTGTGTCTGGGTGTGTGTGCGGGTGTGTGTGTCGTAGTATCCGATACAAAAGTGAAGATGGTGAGATAAAGCGGTAAAGCTTATAAACGACGCATTATTTGTCCTAGAAACTTCAATTGTCTTTTTCTGATTCTAAGTACACGATTCCTTTTTGTTTCCATTTTCATTAAAAATTCCTCCTTGCTCACATGGTCAGTCCATGGTTTTCTCCGCATCTTTCCATATAACTAAGACTTACGGCCATATCACATCGAAACACCGGTTCCCGTGAGATCACCGAAGTTTAGCAACGTCGAGTATAGTCAGAACCTAAATAGGTGACCGTATGAGAATACCAGCTGAAGTAAGTTTCGATGTGCGGATGGTGTAATGGATAATGACACAGAATTGTTAATCGGAGAGCCGAGTTCCAATTCCTGTTGTGTTCGCACAACTTACGCTCCAATACCCTTAGGAAAGGTATAAATCTACTTTTTCCTCCCCATCTATGAGTTAATTTGTAAGACTTGTATCACTTTACTTATTATCTCAGAAAAGATTAAAAGAAAATTGCGTATGAAATATTTAGATTTCAGCATTAAATAACCCAGAGAAGTTTATATACGACTAAAGAAAAATAACCAACCAATGACCAGATAACCACATCTCTGTTGCCACAAGATAATCCATGAGGAATCTGGCCACTATTCACTGGCATGTCGGAAGACTGGGATTACATATCAGTTTAGTATTCTTTTCTTGGTTGCTTACGATATAGTTTGCATAGTTTCTTCAAGGCATCTTTCGCGATTTTGATTCGTCTTCAGATTTCAGTGCCACATTTTCCGCCATCTGTTTCAACTCTTACCAGATAGTAAATTTCTATACTTGTTTGATTCGTCTCTAATTTGTAACTCACATTGCTTTGCTAACGTCAAGACATTCTGTCTTTTGTACTTTTCAGAGTCATTTCTTGCTTTCCTTTACTACCTAACTTAAAAGTTTCTACAGACAGTCAGTATCCGCTATCAATATAGTGTCAGCAGTTCGCCAATAAAAATCCTTGTAATTCTCTTAGGATCACCTCACTGCTTTGGCTGACTAAATCTGGCGAGAAGGCCCATGATTGAATTTTTTTGTTCTTTTAATAAATTCACTCCAGAAAAGGCAATAAAGCCACTAAGACGCTAGGAGCTACTAGGAGTGAAAGAGAATGAAAAGACTTCAGAAGTAAGTAGACATTCAATTCTAAACAGAAAACAAGGAATAAACCTCTACTCCTGCTAAAAAAAAACCAAAAAAAAACGGGAAGGAGTGTGAATCGAATGATAGGCGAACCTACCCACTCCAATTGAGGAGAAAAAATTAAATGAATAATTAATGAATAAAATTCTAGAGTCCAGGCGAAGACGTTAAAAGTATACAGTTGAAGTAGAACCGGAAATGCAATCCTAAACAGGAAACAGGGCATAAACCTCCATTCCTGTTCAAAAGACCAGGGAAAGCATTTTCTATTTTCCTGTACTTCCTCTTTTTATATCCGCAGGCAGGTGGTTTTTTCTCAGTAGATTTTATGGTTAATTCTAATACGATTTCAAATTAGATAAAGTTTCCTTAGCAGTTCAAATAGATCTTCGCGTCGTACCTTAACAGAAGATTTTGCGTAGTCTATGAAACATAAATACTCAAGGCGAAGGATTATTAAATGAAGATATAAAAAGCGTATAGGGAGAGATCAAGGATTGTACATTATGTCGATAGATAACGGTTGAACCTCGACTTGAAGTGATTAAGCTGGCGACGATCAGAGAAGCATCCTTTCGATAATCTGTTTCACATTACAGCGGTTCTGGGGAAACAAGCTCTCTGAGTGGAACTTACTCCTTACTAATGGAATACAAAGGGAGTGAGGATTTGTCGACTCAGTGTACGGAACATGGCGGGTCCTAAATATGCAAATAATCGAGCAGATGCCAATTTGGGATTAACTGGTAAAAAGTTTATGCTAAAATATGGAGAATGTAAATAGAATTTGGCGAAAACAAATTATTTTTGTGGTCAGAAGACAAAGGAAAAAGATATGGGGATGACACGTGGAGGGCATTATTTACAGTAACAGAACAAGCGTCGAATAATCACTGAGTAAACAGGAGGGCATCTGTTCCCCTGATTTTTCAATTGATAATTTCGCAGCATTGGGAAGGCGAGAGTCTGGGAACGCGTCACTGAAATTCATGAACCAAACAGTATAAAATCTCTTATGTCAAGGAAAATAATTTGCATCCTAACTTGATTATGACCGCCATAACAGCTGGGAAGTGAGCAAAAGGAAAAAAAATCTATTTACTTCAAGATTTCATCAATTTTAGAGGTCAGGGGTCTCAGGTTCAAAAGTTAATTTATTATCAGAGGGAAGGATTATTATTATTATTATTATTATTATTATTATTATTATTATTGATTGGCGACTTTAGTTCATTATTATGCTATCCACTGCTTGGATGTTCGGGTGGTCAGCGTAACAGCGCAGAAAGTGGAATCGGCTAGCGGAGTTCGAGATCCAATCTGGCTATTTGCCTTCTTTCATTTCCGAACAAATAACGTTGGTAAAGGCAAGAATCCATCTCTTTCAAAACACTGCCGCTAGCGATGGGTTAGATATCAAGGTGGACTTGACACTCTAACCTTAGGTGGCAACCAGTTTAAGAGAAAGGAAAATTCGGAAAATAATAGAAAGAAATTGTTGTAAAATCTTTTAAACAGTGAGGCATTAGCAATGCACACAATGGAACGCATTATTTAACGACGATGATAGTAGTATTGAAAATGAGTATCAAAGTTTTGGTAACACAGACGACGAATTTTATGAATTTGAAGATGAATAAAAATTTTAATAGTAACTGTACTGTTTTGCTTAATTATAATAATTGCTTGATTTTTATTTTGTTTTCTTACCTTTCGATATAATAAAGTTTTTATAGGCTCATGTTCTTTTTTTACCTATTATTGTTGTTTAATTGTAATCATGGCTTGTTTAACTAAAATAATACCTCATAAATATAGCCTAGGCTGTATCATTTACTAATAATTTTACTATTTTTTACTAATTACTAATTTTTTATTGATTTTCCCTCCTGAAATTGGGGTACGTCTTATATGCCGTGAAATACGGTACACTTCTCAAAATGATAGAAAATACCAAAATATTCGTTGTTTCCAGAGATATTTATATCTTATCTTGGAATGTATCCTGTTATTCCCAATTAACCTCCTTTTTTGGTTTTCTATACATGTTCTGTGCATGCAATGTGATAGGTCCTAACCTGGCATCTCGACGACAGTCACTTTCTCAACGACGTGATGTGGCTTCCCTCTGTCTTTTCTACAAATATTTTCATAGCATCTGCTCCGACGAGCTACTTTCACTTGTACCACGACTACATGAATTTAAGCGTGCTACTAGGTTGGCATCTAGGTCCCAGAAAGTGGAATCGACTAGCGAAGTTCGAGATCCAATGTTTTAGGCGTGTGATTATAGTTGGTAATAATGTTATTATTAAGTTTTCAATGTAATTTCTCCTTAAAGAATTATATTCTTAGTGAAGTATTAGTGAAATATATACTTTTATGATAGTGAAATATCGAAACAGTTAAATGTAACCGCATCTTCTACTCCAACAGCTTCTTCTCCCGCACTTCCCAACAGTGGAACTCTCTTCCTCTTACTTGCTTCCCTGAGAGCTATAATCTTCAAATATTCAAACGCAATGTCAATCGACATCTTCTGGTGCCTTGATCTTGTCCTCGTCCTTCTCTTTATCCTTTCCTCAAACACCTTTTTTACCTTTACTCTCAGCCTCTGTAACCCCTTGCGTGCTAGTGGCTCTCCCGCCTTGCTTAGAGTGAAATGCTTAAAAAAAATATGCTCTTTGGATATTTCTTCGGGTAGCATATGTAGAAATACCTTTTTAATGTTCAAAATCCTATATCGACAACCAGAATTTCAATCGCCGAACATTTTCTGTTCGGCTGTGCATCGCCCACTCAACAATTGAAATCGACCAACGGTGGGAAACATTTGTGTAGAGCTATGATCGCCTACGTCTTAAAGGGAATGGCATTGAAAAAATTATGCGAAAAATACTAGAATCATTTTTAAAATGGATATTCTAACATTCAGTTATGTGCCATGCGTGATACACGCTTTGGCGATCATGTATCTTTCGATATATGACTGACGAGGCAGATGTTTCTCTCAGTAGGTTGTCATTTGATTCTGCGCTAGACCAGTTGCCATCTAAGCCTATAGAACCCGGTCTGTCCTGCTATTTACCCATAGCTGGTGGTAGAAGAGGAGAATTCCCAAAGGTATTAGCACGTAAGTGAACGTAACTTTTTTCTATAAATGTCTTTCTTTCTTTCTTTCTCCATGCATTTTTCATTTATTCATTCATTCATTCATTTTGTCTTTGTCGATATCCTTTCTTTCTTTCTTTCTTTCTTTCTTTCTTCATGCATTTTTCATTCATTCATTCATTCTGTCTTTGTCGATATCCTTCGTTCGTTCTTTCTTTCTTTCTTTCTTTCTTTCTTTCTTTCTTTCTCAATGCATTTTTCATTCATTCATTCATTGTCTTTGTCGATATCCTTTTTCTTTCTTTCTTTCTTTCTCCATGCATTTTTCATTCATTCATTCATTCTGTCTTTGTCGATATCCTTTCTTTCTTTTCTTTCTTTCTTTTCTTTTCTTTCTTTCTTTTTTCTTTCTCCATGCATTTTTCATTCATTCATTCATTCTGTCTTTGTCGATATCCTTTCTTTCTTTTCTTTCTTTCTTTCTTTCTTCATGCATTTTTCATTCATTCATTCATTCTGTCTTTGTCGATATCCTTTCTTTCTTTCTTTCTTTTTCTTTCTTTTCTTCTTTTCTTTCTCCATGCATTTTTTCATTCATTCATTCATTCTGTCTTTGTCGATATCCTTTCTTTTTCTTTCTTTTTTCTTTCTTTCTTTCTTTCTTTCATGCATTTTTCATTCATTCATTCATTCTGTCTTTGTCGATATCCTTTTTTTTCTTTCTTTCTTTCTTTCTTTCTTTTTTTCTTTCTCCATGCATTTTTCATTCATTCATTCATTCTGTCTTTGTCGATATCCTTTCTTTCTTTCTTTCTTTCTTTCTTTTCTTTCTTTTCATGCATTTTTCATTCAGTCATTCATTCTGTCTTTGTCGATATCTTTTCTTTCTTTCTTTTTTTTTCTTTTCTTTTCTTTCTCCATGCATTTTTTCATTCATTCATTCATTCTGTCTTTGTCGATATCCTTTCTTTCTTTCTTTCTTTCTTTCTTTCATTTTTCTTTCATTCATTTTCTTTTTCTTTCTTTTCTCCATGCTTTTTTTCATTCATTCATTCATTCTGTCTTTGTCGATATCCTTTCATTCATTTTTCTTTCTTTTCGATATTCTTTTCTTTCTTTCTTTTCTTTCTTTCTTTCTTTCTTTCTTTCTTTTCTTTCTTTCTTCATGCATTTTTCATTCATTCATTCATTCTGTCTTTGTCGATATCCTTTCTTTCTTTTCTTTCTTTTCTTTCTTTCTTTCTTTCTTTCTCCATGCATTTTTCATTCATTCATTCATTCTGTCTTTGTCGATATCCTTTTTTTCTTTCTTTCTTTCTTTTTCTTTCTTCATGCATTTTCATTCATTCATTCATTCTGTCTTTGTCGATATCCTTTCTTTCTTTTTTCTTTCTTTCTTTTTTTCTTTTCTTTCTTCATGCATTTTTCATTCATTCATTCATTCTGTCTTTGTCGATATCCTTTCTTTCTTTCTTTCTTTCTTTCTTTCTTTCTTTCTCCATGCATTTTTCATTCATTCATTCATTCTGTCTTTGTCGATATCCTTTCTTTCTTTCTTTCTTTCTTTCTTTCTTTCTTTCTTTCTTTCTTCATGCATTTTTCATTCATTCATTCATTCTGTCTTTGTCGATATCCTTTCTTTCTTTCTTTCTTTCTTTCTTTCTTTCTTTCTTTCTTTTTCTTTCTTTCTCCATGCATTTTTCATTCATTCATTCATTCTGTCTTTGTCGATATCCTTTCTTTCTTTCTTTCTTTCTTTCTTTCTTTCTTTCTTTCTTTCTTTCTTTCTTTCTTTCTTTCTTTCTTTCTTCATGCATTTTTCATTCATTCATTCATTCTGTCTTTGTCGATATCCTTTCTTTCTTTCTTTCTTTCTTTCTTTCTCCATGCATTTTTCATTCATTCATTCATTCTGTCTTTGTCGATATCCTTTCTTTCTTTCTTTCTTTCTTTCTTTCTTTCTCCATGCATTTTTCATTCATTCATTCATTCTGTCTTTGTCGATATCCTTTCTTTCTTTTCTTTTCTTTCTTTCTTTCTTTTTTCTTTCTTCATGCATTTTTCATTCATTCATTCATTCTGTCTTTGTCGATATCCTTTCTTTCTTTCTTTTCTTTTCTTTCTTTTCTTTTTCTTTCTCCATGCATTTTTCATTCATTCATTCATTCTGTCTTTGTCGATATCCTTTCTTTCTTTCTTTCTTTCTTTCTTTCTTTTCTTTCTTTCTTTTCTTCATGCATTTTTCATTCATTCATTCATTCTGTCTTTGTCGATACCCTTTCTTTTCTTTTCTTTTTTTCTTCATGCATTTTTCATTCATTCATTCATTCTGTCTTTGTCGATATCCTTTCTTTCTTTTATTTCTTTTTTTCTTTTCTTTCTTTCTTTTCTTTTCTTTCTTTTTCTCCATGCATTTTTCATTCATTCATTCATTCTGTCTTTGTCGATATCCTTCGTTCTTTCTTTCTTTCTTTCTTTCTCCATGCATTTTTCATTCATTCATTCATTCTGTCTTTGTCGATATCCTTTCTTTCTTTCTTTCTTTCTTTCTTTCTTTCTCCATGCATTTTTCATTCATTCATTCATTGTCTTTGTCGATATCCTTTTTCTTTCTTTCTTTCTTTCTTTCTCCATGCATTTTTCATTCATTCATTCATTCTGTCTTTGTCGATATCCTTTCTTTCTTTCTTTCTTTCTTTCTTTCTTTCTTTCTTTCTTTCTTTCTTTCTTTCTCCATGCATTTTTCATTCATTCATTCATTCTGTCTTTGTCGATATCCTTTCTTTCTTTCTTGCTTGCTTTCTTTCTTTCTTTCTTGCTTGCTTTCTTTCTTTCTTTCTTTCTTTCTTTCTTTCTTCATGCATTTTTCATTTATTCATTCATTCATTCTGTCTTTATCGATATCCTTTTTCTTTCTTTCTTTCTTTCTTTCTTTCTTTCTTTCTTTCTTTCTTTTTTTTCTTTCATGGTGGATACAGTTTCATCTTTATTTTTTATATCTTTGTCTGTACAGTTAGTATCTGCGTTCCTTTCTTTCTTTCATTCATTCATTTTTCTTTCCTTCTTGGTCGATATTTTTTCTTTCTTTCTATAATAGTTGCCAGATCTATTTCATTGTGAATATTTCTTTTTTTTTTCTTTCTTCTGTCGTCATATTTCTTTGTTTTCTTCGTTAGGTTTTATCGTCATCTTTATTGCTCACTTCTTTACTTTTAAGCAAAATTCGATTCTCCTCCTTGCAAATTTCTTTAGAACTCCGACATATCAAATTTGGGCCCCGATTTTACTTTTGGTCTCATTCTTTGGTTTCTTAGTTTTCATTCATTCTTCCCTTCGCATTCCTACTACTAGCGTTCTTTCTTTCTTTCTTTTATAATGCAGTTTCTTTCTTCCTACCTTTCGTTCAATCATTCTTTCTTTCTTTTATCATTAATTAATTCTGTCTTTGTCGATATTACTTTTTACTTTTATTCTCGGTACAGTTTCATCGTTCTTTCTTTCTTTCTTTCTTTCTCCATACAGTTATTTACTTTCTTTCTTTCATTCATTCATTCATTTTTTCTTGTCGATATTCTTTCTTTCTTTATTTATTTCAGTGTCTATACAATTTTGTTTGTTTGTTTGTTTCTTTCTTTCTTTCGTTTATTCATTCTTTCTTTTTCTATAAATTTCTTTCTTTCTTTCTTTCTTTCTTTCTTTCTTTCTTTCTTTCTTTCTTTCTTTCATTCATTCTTTCTTTCTTTCTCCATACAGTTTCTTTCTTCCTACCTTTCGTTCATTCATTCTTTCTTTCTTTCTTTCTTCTTTCTTTGCTTTTTTAGTTTTCATTCATTCTTCCCTTCGCATTCCTACTACTAGCGTTCTTTCTTTCTTTTTTCTTTCTTTCTTTTATCATGCAGTTTCTTTTTTCCTACCTTTCGTTCATTCATTCTTTCTTTCTTTTATCATTAATTAATTCATTCTGTCTTTGTCGATATTCTTTTTTACTTTTAATCTCGGTACAGTTTCATCGTTCTTTCTTTCTTTCTTTCTTTCTTTCTTTCTTTCTTTCTTTCTTTCTTTCTTTCTGTCTTTCTTTCTTTATTTACTTATTTATTTATTTGTCCATACAGTTATTTCCTTTCTTTCTTTCATTCATTCATTTTTTTCTTCTCGATATTCTTTCTTTCTTTCTTTATTTATTTCAGTGTCTATATAATTTTGTTTGTTCGTTTCTTTCTTTCTTTCTTTCTTTCATTTATTCATTCTTTCTTTTTCTATAAATTTCTTTCTTTCTTTCTTTCTTTCTTTATACAGTTTCTTTCTTCCTACCTTTCGTTCATTCATTCTTTCTTTCTTTTTTTCCTGGTCGATATTTATCTTTCTTTCTTTCTTTCTTTCTTTCTTTCTTTCTTTCTTTCTTTCTTTCTCAGTGATTATCTCCTCCATTTTTTAACCCTTTGTCTCTTTCCACCTGTGATATATTTTATCCAGTTTCATTCATCCTTTTCTTTTCCTTCCAAAATGTCTTGTTACACTGCGACTCCCTTCCCGATCGATTTACTTCAATACACCGAGATATGACCCGCGGCTAGTAATAAAATTATTAAATATTTCTCCTCAGAGCAGTTTACCGTCAAATTACCCACCGACCCATTGGCCGCCTTGGGTCACTTCCTGAGAGATAACCTCCCAGCCACACCACCACTCGGACCAGCCACTTTCGTACTTGTCACTCTTAAATGCATTCAGTTCCGCTTGCCTTCGGAATAGATCTGAACTTAAATGCCTGAGTCTTTTCGACGGGCCACTCCAGAAGACTGAAATTCTACATTTAGTGCCGGAAAATCAGATCTCAGTTCCAATTCCAGTCTGGTTCATTATATTCACTTATTCATAAATAGCCTTTGGAATGGTATGCATACATTTTTTCTCTCCTCTCCGCCGAGATCTGAGTGAGTTAGTAGAACTTGTACATAATTAGTAGAACTTTTATTAGTAAAAATCATTATTATCTCCAACAAATTCTTACAATCTCAAAATGTTTTCTAGCTATTCATCCGTATTCCATTTGTAAGCAGGAAGTTCCACTCGGACAGATTATTTTCCAGAGAACTTCTACTTTGTGGAACAAACTATGCACGTCTTGAACACTACAAAATCTTTTCAACTCAAAGGTCTATCTATCCTACTTATCCTCTTAATTTTCATTTTCTTCTACCCCTCTTACATTCATATAACACACCTAATTCAATAACCCTCTGCATTGGGTGGCTCTTGAGACTTGTATTCAGTGAGCATCAGTAAATGGAAAGTTCATATTTTCATTGATGATATTCCTTAAATGTCTTCTCTTTTAAGGATGTCTATAGTTACCTTTTCTTTATTATTTATTAATTTCCATGCATTCTTGGAAGCGACAAGAGAGTGGTCTCCCGTTGCTTTCTCCATGGCTTTAAACGCCATGTGCCTTTATATGAGATCATGGCTCCTCGAGGAATCGTTTTCCTTCGTTATCTGTTAATTTCCATGCATTGTTGGGATAGTGGGGAGTGGTTTCTCGTTGCCTTCTCCATGGTTTAGAATTTAGAGTTTTCCTTCTCTTAAAGCGGTTGACACTCAAATCAGGACATCGCAATCTACGCCGCTATTTAACGTTAGAAGAGACGTATTCATATTTATTGATGGCATTAGTGCGAAAGTGAATGCAACTGTTGATGCAAGAATTTGAAGTTGGCCTGTCGACTCCACTTTGCCCGTCAGTATCCGATACACAAAACCAGTGGTTCCCAAACGTTTTTTTTTCTCTTGGACACATTTTTGAAATGAAGATTTGCTCGTGCCTCACTTTTTTATGTGATAAAAATTACATTAAAAAAAGGGTTAGAGGGCTAAAGGGCGATAACCGCGGATTCGAAGACAGGACATTATCATTGATAACTCTCTTCTCCAATTTGCGGACCCTAGTTACTATATTCTTAATAATTGATATAATGCAAAAATATCACAATGATAAAATCGGTCAATAATTATCAGCTTATCCCATAAGTTCTGTCCGAATTTTGAATAAAGAAAACAAGTGACCAAATGTTACATTTAATTACAGATTCAATCAACAATGTATTTTCCTTGATTATCTATGACTTCCTGCCATCTATTAACAAGCTTATTAATTCCATTATTGCAAAATTCTTTTGGCTTTGATTCGAAGAACTCACAAATGTCAGTTTTAACCTCTTCCTGTGTTACAAAAGCTGTTTCTTCCAAATGATTCTGTAAGCTACGAAACAAATGGTAGTCTGAAGGAGCAAGATCGATCTTTTGTGACGTGATTCTTTCTGTGTGAGGTCGCGCATTGTTCTGATGAAACATCACCCCTTTTCGATTCACTAGAGCAGGTCTTTTTTTCCTCAAAGCTTGGTTCAAACGCTCTAATTGCTGACAGTATATTTGAGCATTAATTGTTGCATTAGGTGGTAAGAATTCAAAGTTAATTATTCCTTGGCGATCCCACCAGATTGTAAGAATAACATTTTGCCCATGAAGTTCCCTTCTCGGCTATGTCTGGGGTCCTTCTCCTTTACCAAGCCACTGTCTACGACGCTTAACATTTCAATAAAAGATCCATTTTTCGTCACCAGTCACAAGTCTATCCAAAAAAGGTGAAACAAGTTGGCGAGAATGGAGAGAAGAGCAGATGTCAACTCGGGATTTGAGGTTGTTTTCAGACAATTCATGAGGCACCCATTTTCCAAGTTTAGGAACTTTTCCAAGTTGTTGAAGATGACGATGAACAGTTGAATGGTTTGAACTGAGAACCACTTCCTCAACTGATAAAGCAGGATTTTCTTCAAGGGCTGCTTCAGGAAGCTTTTCATCAAACTCAACTGGACGTCCTGTACGATCTTCATCTGCAAGGGTGAAATCTCTAACTCTGAATTTTGCAAACCATCTTCTGCAAGTTCTTTCATTCACACATTCCTCTCCATAAACTGAGTGAATGTTTCTAGCCGCTTCAGCTGCTGAGTTTCCTTTCTTGAACTCATAAAGCATTATGTGCCTCAAATGATTCTTGGGTACTTCCATGTTAGCAGGGTTTTAATCAAACAAAATTTAATTTTATTGTTCTCTGAAATAAGATTTGATCAGTTTAAATGCACCTAAACATAAAAATAATGTTCAGCTCCATTAGACATTATAAAATTCTCTAAATTTCGTTCATTTTAACAAATGTTAAAATTCGGACAGAATTTATGGGATGACCTGATATCTATAACTCTTTATACTGGGACTCATGCATGCAATTACAAGGAATCTATAATAATATTTTAAATTAGGAAATCGTATTTAAATTTGACATGTGAATTTTTTAATCTATTTCTAAATCTTTGATTGTCTTTCAATCATTCTGCCTCACCTGCTAGCCTCTTCCGTCGCATCTATGAGACACACCGCACCTTGGGAACCACTGCACTACACCCTCATCCAATAGATTCGTTAAGGATGGATTCAAGAAAGATGACTATGTAATGTAATGTTTTAGGCATCTGATTATAGTTAGTAATAATGTTTTTTTTTTGTTTTCAATGTAATTTCTCCTTAAAGAATTATGTTCTTAGTGGAGTATTTGTGAAATCAAAGTTATGTCCAGCATTGTTTCGATGCAAAACGAAAAGAACAAATGGGAAACGTATATCAATCTAACATGCTTCCCTTTTATTAAAGCTTCGTCAGAGATATGGGAAAAACAGACAGAAACTCTGAGATTTTCAATTTTGTTCGGTCAGTTCTCATTGGACAGTCATGTAACACGTGCATTAAAACCGCGGAAAATTCTATATGCATATAAGTTTTTAAAGATTCGTGTATGTCTAAGCGGTCATCCTATCGGGTGCCGAGCCATATTTGATCTGCAATTGATATTTAACTTTAATATATATATATATATGAATATGAATTCAATATATATATATATATATATATATATATATATATATATATATATATATATATATATATATATCCATCCTAGATATTGCGTTCAAGCCTGGAACAAGGTGTCGGTGTTGACCTCAGTGTATATTTTTCATATGAATATCACTGTACAATTTATATACTTCTGAATATGATTGAGCGTGTATATATATATTGGATTACCTTAGCTGCATAAACACACGCACACACACACACACACACACACACACACACAGAAACAGAGAGAGAGAGAGAGAAACAGAGAAAGAGGCAGTAAAACAAAGAGAGACAGAGACAGAAAGAATTAGGTTCATGGTCGTTGTTGCACCTGTTAATTTCATTATTAAATATTTCGCCTATGCATCCACACGCGTGTGTGCGTACATATAAGTTGGTGTTTCATGAATATATAATATATATTATATGTGTGTGCGTGTGTTCAAGGGTGTTGTCATGTTTATTATATACGACTTAAAAAAATAAACATAGTTGCAGTTTAACTGAACCTGCAGAGACACACGCATGAATCTGTGCGTTGCGCACGAACACACGCATACAGATCTCGATATGTACATAATCGGAGCACAGTTGATTTCGACACGTAATTCAATCACCTGCAGTTTTATTACTGACACACGCAATGGTCGCTGCTGCGTTTCAAAACACAAACGTACATGCGCACTCGAGCTGTTTCGCTGTACACTTGCGCAGGAACATATCGATGGCGGGTTTGGGAGAGGAGATACCGAATATCAGTGTTGTGTTAAAGGCGGGGCTTTTCAGAACGTCCACGTATTTGTTAGAGTGTCGACTATAGAGAATATATCTGTGGGACAGCGGGGTGGCAGTTTGGCGCTCCCCGAGACGAGAAGCGAGATATTACGGGTAATTACTTGGAAACATGTTTGGATTCAGTTACGTTTAACCTTGAATTTGGAATACACAAAGATCGATAGTAGAGTGAATGTTTAATGTTTCTGGCTGATAACGCAATGTCTTACTGTTTTACACCTTGAAGTTTATCATTTTTTTTTGCTAGTGTTTTCCGAAAATAATCATTGAGTTGAAATCGTAATATAAAGTGACAAATTTATAGAAAAAACCGTAAATAAGGCAAGAAATAAGTGAGAATCACTTTTATTTAGCAAGTACTTTCTATCACCTTGGGAAATGCAAGTGATTCTGATTGCTACAGTGCATTTCTTACATTATTTAATTGTAATATACTTAAAAAAATATTCGGGAATATGAAAAAATATGAAGACGTAATGTTTGTAACATATATATGCCATATGCGAACACCTATTAAAGAACAGAGATTGTGCAGCCATTTTTAGTGTTGACTGTTTCACCGTGTTGTCCCGGTCACACTCTTTATTTCATCTAAAGGTTCTGAAGGCACTTTACATCGGGTCCCTTAAGCCTTCTTTGTGTAAACAACGTGATTGTCTGTTGGGGCTCGCTGTCATTTGTCTCTAGTTCCTTTTGTTATTTCTTTTCTCCTCCCACAACTTCCTTTTATTGTACATTTTTCTGTGTTCATTTTAAATCAAATCTCCTGTTGAAGCCTGAAGAGCGGGAGCGAAACCGGTTGCTTCGCCCGTTTTTAA